GTCAGACTGCAAAGTCATTTGAACTGCAAGGTCAGTGGTTCAAGCTCACCAGATGCTCCTTGGAACCCTATACAGGGTCACTACAGGTGGGAACTGACTCCATAGCACATAACCACCACCACCCAATCATTGGAGTCCTGGTGTGGCGCTATGGAATAAAGCACTGGACCATAAGGTCAGTTTGAACCTAATCACTATGTGGGAGTTACAAGACCATGTCTAGAAAAGCCATATAAAAGCAACCAATCACACTGTACTAACTTCATGCTCTCCAGTGGACTCCACTTAGGGTCAGGAAGCTGAGAAACCAACCCCCCTGGCATAAACCAGACTCAGTGCTGTCAAGTCAATTTTGACTCGCAATGACCCTATAGAACTGCCTCATAGGGTTTCTTAGACTGTAAATCTTTATGGAAGGAGACTGCTACACCTTTCTCCCACAGAGTGGCTGATAGGGTCAAAAGCACCAATCTTCCAGTTAGTACCACCAGGGTGCCTTCTCCCTGGCTGATGCCATTTGAAATATGGCAGCCCATTTTCAACAAGTTCATGGCACCAGTGGGAAAAAGAAAGTCTGTTTTCAAGTTGCTTAAACTGTTCTTAGAGACACTGCTCCTGCATCATGAAGCCATGTGTGTGTGTCGGAATGGGAGAAGTGCATATCTTCTTTTAAAGACCCTTTTCTCCTAGAAGATCAGCAAAGGGCCATGACATGTCCCACCATTGCAGACAGACCTTATTCTGCTAGGAAGGCCTCTTCTCTGTATGATTTTTGGCCCAGATGTGTGCAGAGAGGGAAGGCAGCTCCAAACATGCCTTGGGGGCTTGGGCCTGGCACCTGGTGAATAAAGACTCATCATTTTCTGAGATGAGTTGAGGATGGCAGGGGGAGGAGCAGGCTTAGGGAGGAACAGACATGCCACTGGGCATCTAGAAGGAGAAAATCTGCCTGGAGAAATGTTTAACAATGATTGTGAGAGAGGGCAGAGAAAAGGGGGAGCAGGATAGGGGTCCTGGATGTCCAAAGCAGGGGAGTTAATTTAGCCTAAGGGCTCAGAGGTCTTCCTGAGGGTAAAGGCAAAGGATCAGAAGGGTGGGATAAAAAGTGTCCAGGCTGAGGGAATAACTTGTGAAAAGACCTGGAGAGGTATGTGTGTGTATGAGAAGTATAGCTCTTAGAAGAGCAAGCAATTCCACCTGTACTTCCCAACCTGGGACCAACTCATCTAGACCTATTCTGGAGACTCCCCACTCCTCTACCCTGCCCCTCAGGGGCTCTGGTGATCTGGGTACCTTTCCTGGGGGCGGTAGGTGAGGGAGGATCTGAACCCTAGAGAGTGGGCAGGGCCACATTCTTGCTGAAGAAGAATGTCTTTGATCCTAAGGCTTCACCCTGGGCTCCACATTCTGGCCAGGAAATCCCCTCCCTCAGGTATCTCCTCCCAGCATCCTTGAATCAAGACCACAGGTGCAGACAAGGCACTGGGCAGGGGTGGCTCTGGCCTCTTGCTATTTGATCACACACAAGTTCCTGCCTCATTCTTCACCTTCTAAGTCTGAGGGTTCAGCACCCACTGCCACCCCACTTCTCTCATGGGGCAGTTCAGCTGTGAACCATTTTACAAATTGTGTTGTTTCCTGAAGTTTAACTATTCAAGACTGCAGGAAGGGCTTCTACAGGGGGACCGAGGCTCTGAGCCTCTCCTGCAGTATGGATGATGATGCTCAAAGCCCCAGCTAGTAACTCATTCCCTTTTGCTCCCACTGTCACCTCCTGCCTACAGACTCTCCCCTCACCTGTGCTCAGTCAAACCCTGTCTTTTACTCTTTACAAGTTCTTCCAATTCCATTCTTCTCCATAGTTCTTCCTCCTAGGGTATATGTCCCCTACTCTCTAATGGTATAATGTAAGAGTTAGCAGGCCTCCTCTAGCTTCTCCAGAATGGTTCCTCCTCATGCACGAGTGAAGGGCTAACTATAAGGGCAGAGAAGAAGTTCCTAATACAATTATACTCCACTAGTGAGAGCTCTGGTAGCGTAGTGGTTACGAATCGGGCTGGGAATCGCAAGGCCAGCTGTTCCACAGGAGAAAGATGAGGCTTTCTGCTCCCGTAAAGATTTACAGCCTCGGAAACCCTGTACAGGGTCGCTATGAGTTGGAACCAACTCCACGGCACATGACAACAACAACAACAAAGTGAAAGCAGCAGCATATGCCTCACCAGGTCCTCGCCTCAGTCAACCTCACTTGACCCTACTGTTAATGTGACTCTGACCTTCCCCTCGGGATGTCAAGTTAACCTATCAACAAGCGTCTTCTCCAGCTTGCCTTATTATTATGAACGTGATCATGTTAACAGAGCACAGCCCCACCAGGGGCCACCTTGCCATGGTCCTGAGGGAGCTCTCACTTGGGGCCTTTCCCCAACCATGCTGGAACAGCCATGCTGCTTGAGGCTACTGAATGGAAGACGAGGTGTCCATGGCTGTTGCTCCAGTTCCAGGCAGTGCCTGGTGCTTAGATGACCCTCAACAAGTCTCTCTTCCCAGTGGGTTTGCTTAGACCTCTTTTTGGAGTGCTGCCTCCATCTCTGGTAACATCTGGACTGCCAGCCAAAGTACCCGGCTTCAAAGAAGCATGTCTTCCCAGATGAATGATTTTCTGTGGTGGACTGGTTGGTTATGGCCCAGATTAGCACTCTCCTGCAGAAGCATGAGCCATCCTGAAGTCACACAGCATGTTGTTAGTTATCATGGAGTAGAATCCAACCCACGGCGACTGCAAGACTGTAGAACTGCTCCAAAGGCTGTAAACCTTTCAGAAGCAGATGGCCAGGCCTGCTTTCTGAGATGCCTCTGGGAGTTCAAATGGCCAGATTTTCAGCTAGTAACCCTTTTGAGCTCTGGTAGCGTAGTGGTTTCGAATCGGGCTGCGAGCCGCAAAGTCAGCAGTTGGAAACTACTAGCGGTTCCGCAGGAGAAAGATGAGCCAGTTTGCTCCCGTAACCCTGTGTAGGGTCACTATGAGTCGGAACCGACTCCACGGCACACAACAACAACAAAGCATAGTGGCTATGAATCAGGCTGCTAATCTCAAGGTCGGCAAAACTACCAGCCGTTCCACGGGAGAAAGATGAGGCCTTCTGCTCCTGTGAAGATTTTCAGCTTCACAAACCCTGTACAGGGTCACTATGAGTCGGAACCGACTCCACGGTAAACAACAACAACAACCCTTTTCACCACCCAAGGACTCCCATGGTCAGCAAACAGCAGGAAAGATGAGACCCGAAGGAAGCAGGTTCTGCTCAGTAGCTCCAGTACAAGTCTAGGCTAGAACCAGAGTCCTGATTCTCCTTTCCCCTCCCTGGCCACCCCTTTTCGGCAGATAAGACCCTTTTTGGCGGCACTGCTGTGGTGTTTCGCAATAAAAGAGACGACTACGGTTCCTTTGGGACACAGCCCTAAGGTCGGGAATAAAATCCTTTAGGTGGACTATTCCTCATGGAAGGCTGGAGGGAGACTGCTTCTGGGCGGCCCCTCTTCAAGCGATTAGCGGAATGCTCAAATCTTCTAGTTCTAGAGGCCCTCCCTTTTGCAAATCATCACATCATAGCTTCCCCCGACCCATTGCCCTCTCAGTCCCCTGCGCCACTGCTGGTGGATCAGCGCCAACCCGCCTCGGGGAGGGGTAAGCCCCAGAGAGGTGGGGGTACCCCAACAGACAGCGAATTTATCATGCAGACAGCAAGGTGTAGCAACTGGCCAGCCTAGACCGGTACGAAATGCGCGGCAGGTCTTGCGCACGCGCGCTGCAGGGAGGCAAGGCGCTTTGTTCCGGCGCTACCTGCGGCTCCATTCACCTCCCGAGTCCTGCTGGCCTGAGAAGATGCACCGCCTTCGTGGAGGCCACGCCCACTTCCCCGCTCAGGGTGGGACGGGCAACGAGCCTCGCCTCCCTCCCCCCAACCGCGTCCCTCGGCCGTGATTAGCCATCTACGCGGCGTGCGCCCGCCTCCCGCGAAAGTTGATTGGTGCATTGAGATGAAGGTTGGAAAAGGAAAGCGGATTAGAAAGAAGCGTTCCACTTCCACCCGCCTCTGTGGAAAAGTCACGTGGCACTGCACTCAGTGCCTGTCACCACACCACTTGTAAAGATTTCTTAAAGAGCCCTAGATCCTTTCCCAGGACTGGTTCTTTCTTTCTCAGGATTCCTCCATGAACATAGACGCTGCTAGTCTCCCAAGTGCGATTATATCAGTTCTATTTGGCTGAGACCTCTCCCTCCAGGTCACGGAAACTACGTGGTCACAATAAGGTGACCGCCTAGTACTGTGCCTGACACGTAGTAGGCGTTCGATTTCCATTTATTGAATGAACTCTGACAGAATAAATGAATGGAGTTCGCTGGCGGAAGGAGGGGACGTTGGTTCATAGTGACCCTCATGGCCCCATCCCTGGGAAAACTCGTTCTGTGAAAGTAGGGAGGGGGTAAGGCGCAGAGCGCCCCTAGGGCAGCGTTTCACGACTAGTTACAAAACAGCTGAGAGGACGGGCGGAGGTGACCCAGGAGGGCATTTTGGCCAGGTCCCCTATGCGAGTCATAACCAGCTCCCGACCAGGCAAGACGACGGCGGCGCGGGGGCGGGGCGAGGTCCTGAGAGCAGGTCTCCGGGCGTCCGGGACTGTTAGTGTGCCAACATATTCCTTGGGGAGGGGTGGTGGAGCGCGGCGCCTTTAAGCCCGGGCGCCCGTCCCGCGGCCCCGCCCCCCGGAGGACGCCTCGGCTCGCGGCCGCCAGAGCCGCTGTTTAATTGGGGCTGTCAGGCCGCGGCGCGCGTGGAGGCTGGGCGGCGGGCGGGACGGAGGCCGGGAGGCCGGGGCGGCGGGCTAGCAGCTCCGCGGGAGGCAGGCGCCCTGAGACGCGGCTGGGGCCCGCGCGGCCGGGGCGCCGTCCCAAGGCAGGGCTGCCGGGCCCCGGCCCCGGGCCGCCCGCGCTCCCCATGAAAAACCAGCTCCACGTCCCCCCAGCGCGGGCGCACATGTCGGCCTCTGGGACGGCGGCGGCGGGGGGCACCGGGGCGGGGTCCGAGCCCGGTGCAGGGTCTGGGTCCGGGGCGGGCGCGGTGACGGGAGCGGGAGCGGGAGCCATGCCTTGCAAGAGTGCCGAGTGGCTGCAGGAGGAACTGGAGGCGCGCGGCGGTGCGTCGCTGCTACTGCTCGATTGCCGACCGCACGAGCTCTTCGAGTCGTCGCACATCGAGACGGCCATCAACCTGGCCATCCCGGGCCTTATGCTGCGCCGCCTGCGCAAGGGCAACCTGCCTATCCGCTCCATCATCCCCAACCACGCCGACAAGGAGCGCTTCAGCACGCGCTGCAAGGCAGCCACCGTGCTGCTCTACGACGAGGCCACTGCCGAGTGGCAGTCCGAGCCCGGGGCTCCCTCCTCTGTGCTTGGCCTACTCTTGCAGAAGCTGCGTGACGACGGCTGCCAGGCCTACTACCTCCAAGGTGAGGGCTTACTCGAGACCCACCCGCTCTCAGGCAGCTCCCCAAAGCCATCGCTCGAGGCTGCATCCACCCCTCGCGTTGGATTTGCCCGACTGGGCGCCACGTCGCCCCGGCCAGCATCCCCCCTCCATGGAGCCCGGTGCGGGTTTGAGCAGGCGTGGGGCCCGCTCTGCGCTGCCTTTCGGCACGATTCAAGTGGGCGGAACAAACTTTCCCTTGCCTGGGCTTTCCTTTTTTTCCTATTGATGGGGTGACGGCAACTAACTAGCCCCCCAGAGGGAGGAGGGGGTGTCTCTTGGGGCCCACGTCCAGTTCCCCACATCCAGTCGGGAATGCCCGTCACTTGAAGGACAGGGTCAGGACCGCGCCTTTCACAACACTATCCTGCCCCCAGGGCATGAGGACAGTTTGGGTCAGGGACTTCGGAAATCCCGGTGTGGCCCGTTCCATCAGGGATTGCGGGTTCTGAGAGGGCGCTTGTGGGGGGCAGGGTAGTAGTGTCTCTTGCTTTAGGCGAGTATCCCAGGTGCCCAGTCCTGGCTGCCCCGGTTCTTGCTGGAGAAGGGGGGTGGCGCCAGGGGGCGAGTGTCTACAGCCGGTGTTTCCAATTAACATTCCAAAATGGCCTCTCACTGGCAGCGGGGCAGGCAGGCAGGCAAGGAGGGGAGGGGAAGCCTGCGGCACCCTCAGGCACAGGGCCCAAGCCTAGCTTTCAGATGCTCCCTATCTCCCCTGTCCCTGTATATCCCTTTGTGGGCCCAAGAGTGGAAAGACTCTGTGTTCTAAGGAGGACCTCTGGAGAGATGGAGCTGGGATCCCTTTTATCAACTTGCCGCTGATGGAGTAAAGGGCCAGACAGCACCTTCACCCTTGCTTCCCTAACTGTGGTTGGATCGTAAAGGGAAAGCCAGGGCTAGACTCCGTCCACAGTCCCAAGCTCTGTCTGCCTCTAACTGACTTAGTGCAGCTAGGTTTTCAGCTGAGGGGTTTACAAACCCCACAAATGGGGTTATCTGCTTTTCTTTACCACTTAGCACTTACTGAACACCCCTGGATGCGAGGTGAGCACAGGGAATGCAGAAATGAGCTGGGCTATCTTCACTGGCCTTTGAAACTGCTGATAGGGTCAAGGGCCCTGGAGTTAGTGTCTTGGATAAGGGTATGGAGCTTTGCTTGGGTCTGATAATAACTTTCACTGCTGACCATGTGTGGGACCTTGGGTACATTACTTCACTTCTTGAGACCCCATTTTCACAGCTGTGAAGTGGGTCATAAGACAAATGTGAACATGTGAAAGGGTACAAGTGTAACATCTTGGCATGGCCCATGTTAGTTTTCAGTGTTGTGCTAATATGGGGAGCCCTGGTCAGGTGTATGTGCTGCCCACTGGCATTGGCAGCCTCTCATCCAGTCCCCATCTCACCTCGGACTCAGGTGGTTTCAACAAGTTCCAGACGGAGTACTCTGAGCACTGCGAGACCAACATAGACAGCTCGTCCTCCCCGAGTGGCTCACCGCCCACCTCAGTGCTGGGTCTGGGGGGCCTCCGTATCAGCTCTGACTGCTCAGACGGCGAGTCAGACCGAGAGTTGCCCAGCAGTGCTACGGAGTCAGATGGCAGCCCTATGCCGTCCAGCCAGCCGGCCTTCCCCGTCCAGATCTTGCCCTACCTCTATCTTGGCTGTGCCAAGGACTCCACCAACCTGGACGTGCTTGGCAAGTACGGCATCAAGTACATACTCAATGTCACTCCCAACTTGCCCAACGCCTTTGAGCACGGCGGCGAGTTCACCTACAAGCAGATCCCCATCTCTGACCACTGGAGCCAGAACCTCTCCCAGTTCTTCCCTGAGGCCATCAGCTTCATTGGTAGGTGCTGTGGTACGCTGGGCAGGGTGGGAGGGTGGGCGCGTCAAGGTGTGCACAGGACTCTGGGTGTCGCCCGCGCCCAACTGGGCACCTCTGAACCTGTCGAGGCCTGTGTGTGCTCTGCATGTGCCAGCATGTGCCTATGGGTGTACCCCTGGCTGCTGTGAGTCACTGAGGCTTTTGGGCCCCTCTTCTTGTCAGGGCCTTGAACCCTGGACTTCCCCCAGCCGCTAGCACCTCATGGCTTCTGCAGTCCAGCTTGTGTGTTTCTGTCTTTGCTGCTGTTTCAGGCTTAGCAAGCTGCAACATCACAGCTCCCAGACCTCCCACGGGCTCACTCGCTCTGTATCATGCCTCAGTACACGTGCGTCTCCAGAATGGGGTCCTGTCACAGCGCATCTTTGGGCCTTACTGTGTGTACTTTAGGGGACTGATGGGTGGGTGGTCCTGGAGTCAGAGCCCTGCCCTAAATAGTCAACTATCATAGTGTAACCCTAGGGTTCTCCCAGGTAGCCTGTGGTGCTTGCTTGAAGCATAAGGGGCACATAAAGAAGGTAAAGGAGGCTGAGGGAGCACTAATCCTACTCTCTGACTTAGAACCCTCTGAAGCTAATGCCCTGCGGTCAGCCTTGGTTGACCTGAGCTCCCTCAAGCCACCTTGTCAATGGCCTCCTGTTCTGTGGACTCCTTGGCCAGCTAGAGGCTTGTAGATTTCAGGTCACCTCTCCCGGTCTGCATCTTTCATCTGGGGTATAGGAAAGCAGACACAGGATCAGGACAATGGGATAACCCCTGGTCCTCTGTGCCTGGTGGCCTAGGCAGTCTTCTGCTTGTGGCTGTGTCTGGAGGACGGCGTTTTGGTGGTGGCTGGGCTGGGTTAGCTTTAATAACAGGAAGTGGGAGGCTTCCCCGCCTCATCCGCTTACTGGGAACCAAAACTAGGTGCCTGGCTGGGAGGAAGGAAGGAAGTGGAGGCCTGGAGGAGGGGCCGTGGCTGGGGCTGCCCAGAGCTGCTGTGCTGTGCCCTGCCCTGTCCTGCCCCCAGAGGATGTGGCCAAGAGGGCTTTGGGTGCTGCCTCAGCATTTGAGCTCTCCCCCAAGAGAGAGAGGAGTGAAGTGGGGAACCCGATTCTTAAGGGCTAAGCCTGTTTTGTGGGTGCCTTTATCTTTCCCAAAGGCCCCTCTATATCTCAGGGAGGGGCAGGTCAGGGGACAGAGCTAAGGGAACCTTTCCCCTCACATGACAAGTGAAGGAACTGAGACCTAAGCACCCCAGAGAGCTCAGGGGGGTGGGGTCAAGTACCAGCTTCCCCCACTCCTCAGTCACGCCCTGAAAAGGCTAAACATAAAGCCAAGGAAGCTCTTACCCTGTGAATTGTCTGGGACTGGCTTTGAGGACAAGGCGCTCCACATATCCTGGTGTGTTACTTACTGGAGGCTTGTCTCTACTTTCTCCACCCCCTGCTCCAGAGCTTAATGTCAGACAACAGGGCTGCACACATTTTGTCTCCTTCACTGCTGGTATTGCCCCTAGAGCCTTACCCATGAGACTGTCACCGACTGTGTTTAGCCATGAGGACCCCCAGAAGGGGGACCCTGGTTGAGTGCCAACTGTGTACCTGCCTCCCAGTGGGCTAGCAGTTAGGGAGCTGGGGACCTCAGTATTCATACCTCTGGCCCAGCTATAGCACAGAGAGAGGCAGCTACACCAGAGTCCAGCGGGAAGTGGTGACAGGAGTAAGGATTTAGCAGCTCAGCCAGCACTGATTGTGCTCTCCTGTGTGTCTGACAGAGGAATCAGAGGACCGCGAAGCAGGTTGTGAGAGTGGGTGGGAGAGGAGGGGTTAACAGAGGGCTGGCAGAATTTGACTGGCTGTGGTGAGAGATGTCATTGGCACATGGGCCTGCTGGGGAAGGTCTAGCAAATGGGCAGAGCACTGCTTTAAGTAAAGCCTTCATGTGAAACCCAGTAGCCCTGGCCAGTTGGTGCTTAACTTCATTCACCATCCACCATCAGGGTCTTAGGGACTTGCCAGGCCCCAGGTGTCTGCTCCCTTCTGGAGGAAACTCTCAGGCCTGTTGCCCAGGAGACTCAGGGAGTGCCTACAGGAGCTGCCCCAAACTCAGCCCCCAACCCCAGGGCATGGTCTGGTTGCTATGAGTTAGGAGTAGTCTCTTTGTGGCCTTGGGCTCATCACTTTGTCTCTGAGTCTGTTTGCCCATTTTTAAAATGACCTTCGTAGCTGTGGTGCAGGTGACCTGGGAAGATGGAGGTGACACCAACAAGACCAGTTAGAGTGCAGACTCGTAGCAATGATGGTACCAGCAGTGACCATAGTCATCACAGTAGCTCACATTTGTTGAACTCCTGGCCCAGGATCTTTCAAGAGTACTGAATAAAGAAACCCATTTTATAGATGAGGAAACTGAGGCACAGGAATGTCAGTGACTGAGCTAAAGCATGGTATTGCCGTCTCCATAGCAAAGTTGCTACATGGAATATGGCCAGGTCCCTCATGGAATCAGGCCATACCACCCTCTGTACCCAAGCCCCATCGGCCTCCCCATGTAGGGAGGCATCTCCCTGACCCATGCTCCTGTGTTTCAGACGAGGCTCGCTCCAAGAAATGTGGTGTCCTGGTGCACTGCTTGGCAGGCATCAGTCGCTCAGTGACGGTCACCGTGGCCTACCTGATGCAGAAGATGAACTTGTCACTCAATGACGCCTATGACTTTGTCAAGAGGAAAAAGTCCAACATCTCGCCCAATTTCAACTTCATGGGGCAGCTGCTGGACTTTGAGCGGACGCTGGGGCTAAGCAGCCCATGTGACAACCACACCCCCAGTGGGCAGCTCTACTTCTCCACTCCCACCAACCACCACTTGTTCCCACTCAACACACTCGAGTCCACGTGAGGCACCTCCCTACCCCTCCACAGGGCCAGGTGGGAGGGCCTAAGCCTTCTCCCGCTGACCTAAGGAACCCTCAGACACCGCCTGTGCCCGGCAGCCCAGACTGCTAGGCGGCTGAACTTGACTCGCCACCCGGCAGTGGACAGAGCCCACAGGCCAGGCCTCCCTCCGCAGGACTTTCTGGAGAGGTCTGAAACTCTCAGACATGTGACTTTGGGGGTCCAGCAGGCCTCACCCTTCTTTAGGATACTCCTTTCTGCTGATGGCCCGGCCAACTTGGCTATTTTTAAAGACATATTCACAGACCTGAGTTTACTTTTTATTTTTGTCAGGTAAATCAAAGCTCCCTGGAGTACAGAGTGTTCAAACTCTTATGATTTTTCTTTCTTTTTTTTTTTTTTTTTTTTTTGCTTTTTAACAAAAAGTGTTCTTTCCAGGTTACATGCAACAGTGGATTGTGTAAATCAGTATTTCATCCCTTCATCCTACACGAGAGAGACGTTCTCCATTTTGTTTTTCTATTTCAAAAAGTAATTATTGGTGTTTTGTTTTTTTGTTTTTAATGGAAAAGACAAACTCGTGTTGATCTTGACCAAATGCATTTTGCACATGTGTGAAGCCTCCGTTTTTGCAGCAGGCCCTTCTGGAAGGGGCGGCTCGCTGGTCTCCAGGCGTCAGTTGCTAGTCGGTCGCTGTCATGTCCACATCTGTCCCCTCAGCCCAGCTCACTCGGCATTGCATTTGCCTATGATGGTGGCTACAGTTGTGATTGGTGGATTATGTGAGTGGCTCTTACATTCTCTGTCCTCCCTGCCACCCTTCCACTCTTTGAGGCAGGAGGGAGTGGGCCCTGCCCTGCTGCAGGTAGGGTTATTGGGGGCTGCCAAGCAGTAGCATTAGCACTTGGGCTCAACCCCTGGGAGGGCCTGGGCCCTGGGCCCTTTTATTTACTCCACCTAATACTAATGTCTCTTTTTCTCTCCTGTCTGTTTGCAACTGGGAGTGGAGGCCCAGGGCCTGGGGATAATTTAGGTAGGTTGGGGCCCAGCCTTGCCTCTCCAGTTCCTTTTCCTTCCCCTGGCCATTGCTTTGATCCCGCTGCCAACTTCCTCCCCTCTGACCCCTCATTTTGCCCATGCCTACTACTACCAGGAAACTCACACCCATGTCTACCCCCTGGGCAGGAGCAGGGGGCTGAGGCTTAAGGGAGGCACCCTGAACAAGTGGAAGGGCTGTGAGACTCTGTCCCCCACACCCCACCCTGAGAATTCCACAGAACAAAGCCACGGATTCCGTTATCCCCTCCACTTTTATTCCTTTTCCACCCTCAGTTCTATCAGGTATTGGGACTGCCTGGAGGGTGAGCGGTCAGGAGGGAGTCCCTGAGGGAGCCAGCACTCAGCACGTGAGCGAGGCCACGGAAATTCGGCCCCCACTGCAGCTTACCTCACAGCGCTGGTGTTCAGGGATTCTCTAGGGCAGCGGAATAAACTCTTGCCACAATTGAGAAAGTAGCCAACAAGCTCCATGCCAGACATGGTTTTCTCTCTCTTTATTTTTAAAAAGAAAAACTCAGAAAGATGTATCGGACTTGTGTAAATTGAGGGTATGCCAAGAGGGTGGCCAGTTTTGCTTTATGATCTTATGAAGGAAAATTTGTGACCCTACATATATATATATATATATATGTCTATATATGTGTGTGTGTATGTATATATAGATACATACACACACACATATACACATACACACACACATACATATATATATATTATATATCCCAACCCAGCCACGGGACTTTGTTTAGATTGCAAATAAAGATTATTTTTTCTTTAAAATGAGTTGTCGTGTCCAGTAAAGGCTTGCGGTCTTGGCAGGTAAAGAGGAGACTCTATTGACTGGCCTCCTGTGTGTGAGGCATTGACCTGGTTCTATCTGGGGTCTGCTGGGAACTTGCTTTGAGGATCAGAGGTGGCCCACAGGTGGGAGCAGTCAAGGCCTCTGGGTGAAGCTGGGCTGGCAGCATTTCCCAAGCCCTTCAGGCACGGGTAGGTAGGGACATCAGGGCTTTCATTGTGAGGTTCTAATAATTTTCAGGGAATTGAGGTTCAGAAAGGTGGTGTGTGCTAAGGTCAAGATCGAGCCCAATTTCACCCAGCATTTCCCTAGGCTCTCCCCTTAGAAATTGCCCGAGGGCTCCAGGCTCCTGAGCTCACAGGTCCCCTGGTGCTCTAGGACCCTGACCCTTTTCTTGATATTGTGGGTGGAAGAGGGAATCCTGATCAGTGAGCTGGTCAGTCATGCTTTGTTCCTGAGTTGCTGAGTGGCCTAGGACAAGTCCCTGAGCCTCAGTACCACCTCTGTAAGATGAGACCAACTGCACCCAGACACAGTGCTTTCAGCCTCTGATCCTGGGGTGAGAGGGAGAAGTCTGCAGTGCTCGGGCTCCTGCAGGACTGAGTGAACATTGATCCTTGATCTAAGTTCCCTCGGGGGTCAAGGGAAGGAGCCTAGAGAAAGGCAGAGACTAGCTTGGTGGGGGGCTAAGGCTCCCTTAGGCAGCAGAGCCATGATAACAGCTGGGAAATGAACTTCTGGATGATTTGGATGAGTTCCTGCCAGGGACTTAGGAGGTCTGGTTGCTGACTCAGTTTCCTCATCTGCCTTTCCCTAACTATGCCTTGAGCAGACAGTGAGCAGCACTGGGCTGGACCCTGATAGAAGCAGGCAGAAAGGGCGACTCAGCCCTATACCTGGGATTCCCTATCAAGATACCCAGGCTATGCCATCTGTCCCATCTCTACCTCTGACCAGAACCCAGCCACCACCTTCATGGCTTGGGATGTGGCAAGGGATAAGGCAGGGGCAGATTCTGCAGTCAAGGGACCTGAGTTTGAGTCCCAGCCCTGTGGCTCTGCCACTTCCTCCCCAGCTTTCTTGTCTTTAGAGTGGGAGACACTACTGACCACGGCAATGGTGTGGAGGGGTTCTTGCAGTCTTGCAAAGGGGTGGGGACTGCGTTTGCTCTCAGACTCTCAGAACCCTAGTCCCTCTGTGCCAGGGGCAGGCAAGAGGGTGGGGGCCTGAACAGGCAGAGACTGGGCCTTTGTTCCCTCTTGCCGGGGAAGCCCGCGGGTACAGGGCTGGGGGCTGGGCCCTTGAAAGACTGAGTTAGTGCCTGGCAGTGCCAGTGTGCCCAAGCACAGGGTGGAGGGGAGAGCAGTCATTTTCTGAGCTGGCTTCTCAAACCAATGACTGGGGCAGGTTTGGGGACACTTGGGAGAATGCAAAGAGGGCCAGGCCAACTCTGCTACTTGCTTCCTGTGAAACCTCAGACAAGCCAGGTGGCTTCTCTAACCCTCAGTGTCCTCATGTGTAGAATTCCCACCCCGGCACCATGACTGGCTGTGGTTCCCTTTATCAAGGACAGAGGGCCAGGTCCTGTCCAGCTGGGTGGCTGGGGCCTTGGATCCTTACTCTGTGACCTGGGGCTAGGCCATGCTTACTCAGTCTCCCTCATACCACTCACTCTGGACTTCTGTTATCTCACCCTGGCTCTGACCTGCTGGCCTCCTGTGGGACCTGTTCAGTCTAGGCCATCTCTGGTCAGGGGATTAGATAACAGTGTTCCCCAAGATCCTGGGTGACCTAGCTTTCTGGACTGCATCTGCTTTGTCTCTTTGCCCCGAGTCCTATCTCTCTTCGTACCCAATTCCCTTTGCTTCCTAGATCCATGTTTCTGTCTCCATCTCAGCTTGGGCCCCAAGGACCCCATAATCCATATTATTAACATGCTCCGGGAGAAGGATCCAAGTTACTCACTGGAACATTCATCCAGTAGCCATTTCCTGTGCCTGCTGGACTGTCCCAGGAGTGGGAACATGCCCAAGGGAAACATGATGTCAGGCTGGGTGGCAGGATGATGAGGTCTTCAATTTATCCTCTGATAAATGAATCAGGTGCAAGAGCTGGAGTGACTAAGGCTGGATAGAAGGAAGAACTTACAGTACTGTGGAGTAGCCATCTTGAAGGGGGCCTTGACAAAGAGACCACAAAAGAGATGAGCATGTCCTTCCCCAGGACGGTCCTACCCTGAGCCTCAGGGAGGGGAGAGGACAACAAGTCTCAGGAGAGGGGCCTGCTTTAGTCAGCACCCATGGGGCCCTCCCTGGAGTGCAAACAGTCATCCTCATGAATGGAGCAGGGATGGGGGCAGGCAGAAGCCCATGCTGGAACTTGTCCCCCTGCCTACCACTGTCATATCCTGTCCCCGCCACTGTGTCTGGGAACACCAGCACCACACCAGAACCACTGGTGGAAGTCAAGAGGACCGGATGTGGAAGCCAGATTTCTAGGGAAAGAAAATATTAACCTCTGACTTCTGGGTGCCCAGGAGCCTGGATCAGGGAAGGGTCCAGGTCCTTGCCCACTGCTTGTCCCTGGCCCTGCCAAGACAACACCCTCAATTCCTTCCAGAGACCTCCTGGGATTGGCCCCAGCAGACCTGAGTGCCTGGTGAGAGCTCAGAATTGTACTATTCCCATTGCCATGTTGCTAAGTGCCGTGACCCTATGTAGTGTTTCTGAGGCTGAACATTTTTTTGCTGGAGCAGAAAACTTCATCTTTCTCTTGCAGCGTGCCTGGTGGGCTTGGCCCACCAACTTTATGGTTGGCAGTCCAGTATTTATTGTACAGAGCCACTGCACTCCCTCCAATCCGCGTACAGATGGGGAAACTGAGGCTCCAACAGGAGTATAGAGTAAGTCAAAGTCAAAATTCTCCCTGCCCTGCTGTACTGAGTCTTGTCATCCAGGTCCTGCCTCCCCAGTAGGCTGGGAGCTTTCTCTCTTTCACAGACACACACACACACACAATGCCGTCATTTCTAAGGAAGGACAAGCCCAAGCAGGTCCCATAGCTTATTGAGGCGCCACCTGCCTCTGATTTCAGCCTCTTCTCACCTGGGCGTGTCCAGGATGAGGTCACCCCTCTGAGGCATGGCCATTATAGACCATCATTAGCAACTGTCCAGAGGTAAGATGAGGTCTCAGTTCTTCCCCTCCCTTTGCCCCCATGGGCCATATAGGACTCTATTCCCAGCAGGAACCCCTACTAGGCCTGTCTACCCTACACCCCAAACCACTGTCATTGAGTTGATTCTAACTCACAGCAACCCTAAATAGGGTTTCAGACACTGTAAAGCTTTATGGCTGCAGACTCTCATCTTTCTCCCACAGAGCAGCTGGTGGGTTTGAACTGCCAACCTTACCTTTAACATCCTGTACTTAGCCTACAGTGCTATCCTATAGCTTCTCCATATACCACCTCCTCTTGCCACAGAGCCCTTCCACAGGGTTAGGTGGGCCAGAGAGGGCATGGTTTGGAGGGCAAGGAAGCCCCTAAAGAGCTTTAAGCACAGGTTGAAAGAGTCTGGTTGTCACTGTATGGATCCTCTAGTTGCTGAATAGAGCAGCAGGCGAG